TGCTGCTGCTGCTCGATTTCGGCGATCTGCAGCGCGAGGTCTTCTGCTGTTTCCGTTACAGCTTTTAAAGAAGTCCCCGCAGGCAAAGGCAAATAGCCATCGCGAATTTGCACTGCTAGTCTCTCGCACTCCTGCAGCAGCAGCAGCAGCAGCAGCAGCAGCGGTTGAGGCAGCAGCAGCTAAAGTGACATCCGCAGCTGCAGCGACAGCAGCAGCGCTTGCAGCAGCAGCACAGCCTAAAGCAGCAGCAGCAGGGCAGGCTGCAGCATTGGAGCCGCAGCCGCAGCATCAAACAACCATCACAGCAGCAGCAGCACCAAACGTCCATCAACAGCAGCAGCAGCATCAAACGCCCATCACAGCAGCAGCAGCAGCAGCACGAAGCGCTCATCCCCAGCAGCAGCAGCACCACCGCCACCCATCATCGCCAGCAGCAGCAGCAGCACCACCACCCATCATCATCAGCAGCAGCAGCAGCGCCACCACCACCACCCATCAGCAGCAGCAGCAGCAGCAGCAGCAGGTTCACTTTGAATGTTTCGAGGGCCTTGGAAATGTCTCCGGAAAAGAAAAGGGACTGGGCCAAGGAGACACTCGGGGCCAACAAGTTGCTGCTGCCCAACGCGAAGGCCCCCCGCACCCGCACTGCTTCCCCGTAGTCCTGCGCAAACCCTAAACCCTAAACCCTAAACCCTAAACCCTTAACCCTAGGACTCGACGAGAAAGACCCCTCGCATCCGTACTGCTTCCCCGTAGTCCTGCGCAAACCCTAAACCCTAAACCCTAGACCGTGGGCCTGGACGTGAGAGGCCCCACGCGCCCGCGCGGCTGCTCAGTGCTGCGCAAACCCTAAACCCTAAACCCTAAACCCTTGGGGTGCGATGCACGCGCGTCAACTCCCCGAAGGCCGGCGCAAACCCTAAACCCTAAACCCTCAACCCTAAAAAGGGGTTTCGATTACGGAACAGAGTGCTTTGCAAACCTAATGCGGCCGCCTGCGTCTTCGCCAGCGCGCTTAGGGTTTAGGGTTTAGGGTTTACTTCTGTTGCGTCTTGAAACCTATTATTCATTAGCTGCAAATCCCCCAGGCGCATGCAGGCAAAAGAAAGGTCTGTTGCTGCAGTAACGATCTCCTCACGCGACAGAGTTGCTGCTGCTGCTGCTGCCGCATCTGTTGCTGCTGCTGCTGCTGCCGGACCTGTTGTTGCTGCTGCTGCTGCTTCCGGATCCGTTGCTGCTGCTACGGCATCTGCTTTGGGCGTTTCGGCTTTCGGCGTCGCCGGTGTCTCTGCATCCGGTTTTGCTGCTGCTGCTGGTTCTGCTGCTGCTGCTTCTGCTGCTGCTGCTGCTGCTGCAGGTATGTAGTTGAGCAGAGTGGCAAGACACTTCTTGGCCAGTTCCAGCATCTGGAAAGCCAATTCATCGTCAGACACTTCCCCCTCATCTTTCTTTTCTGCTGCTGCTGTGCTGCTGCTGCTGCTGCTGCTGCTGGCAGCAGCGGTCTTCGCTGCAGGAGGCGCAGCACACAGTTTCCTCAGCAGCTCAGCGTCGCGCCGCAATCCCCAAACCCTCCAATCCCCAAACCCTAAACCCTAATCTCTAAACCCTAAACCCTAAATCCTAACCTTGCGGAAGCTGGGCGAGGACGTCGTCTTTGCTTTCTTCCAAAGACAAAAGAGCATCTCCAAACCACAAATACAAAACCCCCATTTGAGGGTTTAGCTCCGAGCAACCCGTGGAGCTCAGCCTGGCTCACACAAACGCCGCAAGGGTTTAGGGTTTAGGGTTTGGGGTTTAGGGTTTGGGAGGGCGCGCCAGGGCAAACCAAAGAAAGCTAACGAAGCCAAACAGCATATAGCCCAGCAGCAGCGCAGAATAAAGAGTAAAACAAGCAAGGGTTTAGGGTTTAGGATTTAGAAATTAAAAATAAAAGAGCTGCAGCAGCACCGCTCGCGAATGGCCCTCGAGAAAAGATCTGCTGCAGCAGCAAAATCCTTGGCCTTCATTGCTGCTTTTCCTTTTTCAAAAAGCTGCTGCCCTGTGCGCACATCACATTTCATAAATGCTGCTGCTGCTGCTGCTGCTGCTGCAGTTGAGCTGCTGCGGCAGTTGAGCTGCTGCCGCAGTTGCGCCGCCGCTGCAGTTGCTGCTGCATGCCAGGGGCTGCAGCAGCTGCAGCAGCGTTTGCAGTGACTGCAGCAGCAGCAGCAGCAGCAGTGGCAGCAGCAGCACGAATGTCAGCAGCTGCCCGGACAGGAGCAGCAAGCCGCAACTAAAGCAGCAGCAGCAAAAGCAACAGCAGCAAAAACAAGGACACC